GTTTTGTTACAAATATGTGTTGCATATACACAGTAATATCGGGACAGTAACATAATGTAAGATGAGAGTAACAAAGTTATGCTACATTTACATAGATATGATAGTAACAAATGTTATGTAACCTGTTAGCTCCATGTTAGATACCTGTTAAGTTGCTGCATTGTAACCAATGTCATTTAACTAGTTAGCTCTATGTTACGTAACTGTTAGCTTATTACATTGTAACAAACGTTATGTTATTTGTTAGTTTTAAGTTACGTAACTGTTAGGTTTTGTGTTCAGTGGTTATATATAAAAGATATTCGTTTCCAGTAGCACGTACCATTGTCGTGAGGGGACTGGTATTAGGCTTAGGCAGTATTGCGGGCATGGCGTTGGTCGAGGTCTGCAGGGAAATCGACTGCTGGGCTTCGATTGGCTTGGACATGACCAGGGCAGCGGGCGTCACCGCCATCTGTGGCGAAGTTTGCAACTGACCGGTCTGCATAGGAGGAGTGGTCATCGTAATCGGCGGGGCGTCCGTGCGTCTCGGTGATCGAACTTTTATTCCTCTCTTCTGATTGATCCCGTTCGCCGCAGCCTCCGTGTTCGCCGCCGAGGATACGCAGTTCACGATAGCGGTCGGCTTCGTGGCTGAATTCTGCATTATCTGCCGTAGACTCTGGATCGTGTGGTCCTGAATTTCGAGAACATCCCTCTAGATTCTAATCCCTACCTCGGGCTTCAAAATATACGAGGGTATACGACCGTCGTTAGATAGAATCGCTCGAGTCACAGGGACTAATACTAGTGACGGGAGTGATACGATACTTATTAATAATATTGCAATAATTCAATTCTCCGGTATTTGTTCCTAGGTATCGAAAATATATAAAAAATGAGATACTTGGCATCAATATTACCGATACGGATACCTTTTAGAGTGATACATAACAATACATTTATAATTGATACGGTAACAAAGTACCAAAGTATCGATACTATCGACAATATAAACGAATATTTCATGTACTTTATGATACAATATCTTTCATTTCTTAACTCATTTCTAATGAGAGTGATACGATACTTATTGATAATATTGCAATAATTCAATTCTCCGGTATTTGTTCCTAGGTATCGAAAATATATAAAAAATTAGATACTTGGCATCAATATTATCGATACTGATACCTTTTAGAGTGATACATAACAATACATTTATAACTGATACGGTAATAAAGTACCGAAGTATCGATACTATCAACAATATAAACGAATATTTCAAGTACTTTATGATACGATGTATGAAATAATAGTTCTCATCTTTCATTTCTTAACTTAACTCATTTCTAATGAATAACCCAGGTAATAATTACCCCAAATTTTTTATCAAAGAACATTTTTTTGTATATATATTGCCCTCAATAACTCCATTTTCATAACTCCCGTAATATTGCCGCACCCACGATCTTTTCGATATTTCTTTTTAACCTTTATCGCATTCTCTCACAGGACGCTCAGTGACTGACAGTCGATATTAACAATTGACTGCTGGCAGTAAATTTTCTTACACGCACGTACATATCACACAACTAGACTACTTGTTTGTGTTCAGACGGTTCACGAAAAGTATTGTTGATAGTATCGATAATATTTACAAAGGACTAGTTACTCAAGTTTGATACCTGCGTGTAGGTACCATTTGGGTATTGACACCATTTGATACTTTCGTCTTTACGTACACTGGGAGACATCAATGCCCTCCCATCCTGCACAGGCGATGCCGTATCTGCAGGGGAGGCATTCATATCCGCCACTGTACTCTGGGAGACATCAATGCCCTCCAATCCTGCACAGGCGATGCCGTATCTGCAGGGGAGGCATTCATGTCCGCCATTGTACGCTTTTAAGATATTGATATTTTACTGTTAGGAATCGATACCGATCACGGCGTATTATTTCCATCACTAATACCTTCGGTATCGGGGAACAACTCACCCCGATGAAGTTGACTTGCAGCCCGACCGAGCGATTGATCTTGATGGGAGGAACCGGTCGATCGTTGTTTGCTCGTCGATCGGCAGCGTTCCGGGTCAAGACCATCTCGAAGTCCTTAACTTGCTTCGCTAGGAGTTGGCAGCGAGCTCGGGTCGCCTCCTGGTTCTTTTCCGAGATTCGCACCTGCTCGCGGAGCATCCCTATCTCGGCTCTCATAGTTATCGTCTCCACTAGTTTCTGGATGAGCAGCTCTTCCACCTCCTGTAAGACACGTTACCTTAAAGATATCTCACACCAGGGTGTATATTCCTATGTCTACCGAAAGCCTCACTTCTTGCTTGAGTTTCGCCAGTTTATCCTTAGCGTCCCTCAGGAAGAACCTCTTAACGAAGCTGAGCGACTTGATCGACTCTTGGAAAGCGCTGTTCGGGTACTCCGGCCTTTCGGACGCGTTTCTCTCCGGCTCGGGAAGGATCCGCATTTTCTTCGGGTTGTTTCTGCCGGACCCGTCATCGTCGTCCTCGAGGTTCCTCTTCAAGGCTGGAGGAGAGGTCGGCCTGGCACTGCTGTTGCTCTTCAACTTGACAGCGACGAACTTGTCCAGACTGTCACTGGACTCTAGATCACTGTCATTGTTGTACTTCCGGATCATCTCCTCGGCGGTCCTCGCGGTCCTGCGCTTCCTCTTTTGCCTCGGTACATTCTCCGAAGTGGAAGGCGGATCTTGAGAAAGCATACAAACCGATTATTATTACGATCTCTTAGTTGTTACAAAAATAAATAAATTAATGAATAAATAAATAAATGAAGAAAATTAAAGGACAGAGAATGGAAAAATAGAGGGATAAACCTACCCTGAGTATCCTCCTCGACGCTCTTATGAGACGTGCTCTTGGTGCGCTTCGATCTCCTCTGCGGTCCAGACTTGGCCCTCGAAGTGTCTTCCGAATTGTCCGTCTTGGAAGCATCTTCGAGGCTGGTCTTGGGATCACTTTGCACTGCACCGTCACTAGACCCTGCAGAGGTCAGGGCTTGACTGGAATCGCCCTTGGAGAATTCACCACTGGATACTTTAGTGATACTAACACTTCGATCACCTGTCACTTCCTGAACGTCGTCGTCACTAATCTCATTTTGTTTATTGTCCACAGTCTTTGGAGAACTCCTCAGGCTGTCTTCGTTTATGGAGCTGTCTGTACAGTCTGTGGGTCTTTTGGCAGAGACGGTGTTACCCTCTAAAGGGCTTAGAGATCTTCTCTTACTGGTACTGACCTGCTTCGACGTCGACTCATCTATGGGATTGCTCTTTGCAATCTTCATGATGGTAACGTCGCTGCCAACCTTAACACCACTATTAGTTAAGAAATAATTATCCTCGTCCGAGGAGGCCATGCTCTCTGTAGAGCTTGACATTTTTTTCATATCCCTCATTTCGCTGCAAATTGGCCCTTCCTTGTTCGAAGATTCCATCTTGACGTCGCTATCATCACCTGACAAGTCGGCACCGGTTAACAAAGATTGTGCTTGTTCTTTTTCCTTCTCCTTTTCAGTCGGCACTTTCTTTTCATTCACTGTTAAAGTAGATGAAGAAGCTGCTTCTGGACGAGGCTGAATTTTAGTACCATCCATAATGACAGTCTTTTGAGACTGCTTAATATGATCGGTTTCACTCTTATCAAAGACTTTTAATGAGAGTTCCGCATTGTCCTTGACAAGAATGCCATCCTCATCATCGGATAGCTCTAGAGTTTCAGTGGACCCTAAGCAAGGTTTATTCGAAGTATTCAAATCAACACTTTCCCCAGGACTTATGTTTTTAATGTTCTTATCAATAGTGTCTGAACTCTGGGGCTGCAGTAGTGTCGTCGATAACAATATGTGTTTCAGGATACTCTTGTCTCGTTTTGCACCATCACTTGCATCAGCAGTTTTTTCTATTTTTAATTCTTTGTCACTTAAAATATTGCTGTCGTCAGTCTGTAATAAATTATTTGTCTGTACATCAGGATCGAGATTAATAATATCATTTGCACCTGTCTTCTCTGTGGTACTCAAGACAGTTTCATCAATTTTAGCTTCGCATATCGATTCAGGCAGTGTCGAGAGAGAAGCTTTTCCTTCTTCCTTTTCAAGTGAGGAATCATTTGAAGCCTCATCCATAGTTTTCTTTAATTTTTGCACCTCTCCAATCTTTATTCTATGAGCTGCAGTTTCCTCAAGAGTAGCATCACCATCGACCGTAGTTTCCTTCTTAACCAGTAGTTCCGAAACCTCCAAATTTGGACGTATCGAATCTTCGTCAGTCTTCGTGTCCACTAAACCTTTTGATATGTCCTGCAATGCTTCCGATTGTTTCACAGTAGTATCACTAAAAGTTTTGCAACTATTATTGTCGATAACAGTAGCTTGTTTAACAGAAGTATCCATGGCAGAATTTTTATCGTTGTCCTCTTCATGGATATTCTCACGTGTACCAAACTCTTCCTGTACCACCCTCGCAGTCTCAAGCAACTTTTCACAATCTTCCATCGTGTTTGACGTTTCCATGGGCTCTACGATTACATCTGTTGTTATCAGTTCCGATGTTTCTTGTGCCTTTAAAGTAGAATCTACTTCTTCTTCCAACACTCCTTCTCTAGTCCCTGGAATATTTTCTTGCTCGTCATCTGTCTGCAGTAACATTTCTTCGTCAGCTTCCGTGTCTTCTCTTGGATCTATTTTTTCTGGACTCGACATCTCTTCAACTGGTCTGCCGTTCTCATCACTCTCCTCTTTACAAACTCCTTTCTGAACTGATTGTTCATCCGTGACTGAAGAATTTCTATCGTTCTGTTCACTCTCTTCAGACTTACTACATCTTTGACCATCCTCAGGCCTGTTGTCAGCCTCACAGAATTCAGCAACCTCTGATGTCGTTAACTCATTACTATCATAAAAGTCTTTAGATGCCTCCAAATCTAAATCAACCTTATTTTGCGGAACTTCAGACAGCTTCTCAAGGTTATTTGAATCCTGGTTCTCGAAATCTTCATATGAAGGAACTAAAACGATTTGTCCACTATTAAAATCACAAGAGTTGCCAGCAGAGTGTTCTTGCCTCCCTGTCTTGACTTCATCGCTCCCAGTGGGCATTAATTCATCCAAAGGAGCTTGACAGTTATCGCTAGTGATACCAACATTTTCTGAAGGAACTGCATTACCATCATTTTGAAACTTATGCTCTGGCTTAATCTTTGCTTCAAAATTTTCTTGCAACACAGACTCCTTGCACCCTACAGTAACATCTTTATTTTTATCCCCCGAATCCTGGTCTTCTTGAGGACCTTTAACATCAATCGTGACTTTCTTAAGATTCTCTGTAGTGGAACTTTTCTGCTTACACGGCCCATTTGAAAGGACAAGATTTTTATTATCCGTTGCAAGCAAGACCTCTACAGGTTTCTCACACTTTACATTTTCTTCGGATTCTTCCTTAACCAGACTTTTTGTACTATTCAAATCGGCAGGCTTCATACTACAGATTTCTACTCCAGATGTCTTCTCACCAGTTGCAGCTGGCTTGGAATTCTTTGCCAACTCAGCTGGCTTGGCCAACGGATAGCATTTGGAGCTTGTCTTCTCCCCGATCTGCTGGGTTCGCTCCGTGACAGGATGTCTGTATGGCGGGGCGTACCTGTTTCTTCGACAGCTGTACTGATTATAGTATCTGGAGTTGTAGTGCTCCTCATTGGGGTAAAATGTCTTTGGCTGATAGTAGTGATGTCTTGGGGGGAACGGAGGCCTAACATTCTGGTAAGGCCTCCCACGGGAAGGTCCAGGAAATCTCCACCGACCCTCATGTCCTGGACGCATTGGACTTGAATGATGAGCTATCGAAGGCCCTCTTAGGCCATTTCCACTCATATTCATCTTTTCGTCCTCAGCATAGAACTTCTGATCAGTCAGTGAGTTATTATCCGGAGAAGGGCTACTTGGCTGATCCTCTTCCGAAGTGGAATTTTCAATGCCCACTGTTTCGCACCGTTCAGTTTCTGAACTCTGACTATTCAGCTGCAGGGGAATTTCCTCAACCGGAGAGTCTGTGAAAGCTTCAACAGCTGGCTCTGCAATCAATATTAAATGTTACATTGTTGTAACCTTAGTGGTAAAACATTTTCATACAATTTTTCCTCAACCTCATATACAACTGTTTTTTTTTCTTTTCTAAAATCATAGGTATTATTCAGATTGAAATAGGATTAATCAGAATTTCTGGCTGCAATACAAAATAAATTATCCTTTTACTTAAACGATACTGATACACTTACTGACATTTCTCTTTTTATCAAGCTCATTTAAATATTGCACATAAACCCAATACATTGTTTCTTCAATCATGATGTACATAAAATAAAATCAGGTATCGTGCATATGAAATTATAGATACTAGATAAAAAAACAAATGAGTTGTTTACCGGCTTCTTACCAGTTGCTAGGTTACAAAAAACAAAAACAAATGACAAGTGTCTACCTTTGCTATTTTTTTTAGCAGTAGCTCATAAACGAATATCGAAAATAATAAGTACAAGGTATAAATGTATTTTTATAAATTTCAACGACTCACCAGACTTTTCAGTCTGCAATTCACATTGCTGAACGTCAACAGTGCCGAGTTCATCAAGATCAGCCTCATCATCGGAGAGTCTCAAACGTAAACTATCATCGGAGAGGGTTTCTTCCTCGTCGCCGTCATCTTCGGCTCCGTACAATAGTTCCTCCTCTTTCTCTCTCGTTATTTCAGAAAGATCTTGGTTAGTGCACAAGTGCCCAGAGGACAGCGTATTAGACTCATTAATATGCAATGGGTTGGTTCCCACTGTCTCCATTATTATACAGAAAGCCGGTGTAACGATATATCACTTCGGTCCCATTTAACTGAAATCTCCCAATGCGATCTGTAAAATGTTCAAACAATTTTCTTCTTAATAATTACCCCATCCAAAAATCCGTCCCAACCTTCCATGCTTCCTCCAAGCCATAAACATTATTTAAGACGCATCAACACACCTGATAACAAAATCTAGTCGACGAAGTCAATGACAGGCATCCGAGTACATCCTCTCTGCACAGTTTCCTTGCAAAAGTATATCCAATAGATTCCTGTAGAAGAAAGAGAAAGAAAAGCGTTACTCTAGAACTTCCTTGATTTAATTATACGCACTATCCAGGTAACAGAGCCACAATAAATTCCGACACGTTGTGATCGGAACGCGCCGTTTAAATGCCGTAACCTCTACCCAGCACCTTCCCGCCGATTTAAAACTCACCTAACCTAACCTAACCCCAGCAAACCTCCATTCATCATGTAAAGAGCACAAAGTAAATAAAATCCCACGTGTCCAGTCGATTTAAACCGCCTAACCTTTAACCTCAACGACTCAAGGACGTTCCCGGCACAACATAACCTCACATCCGACAAATTCTCGCGACCCCGCGAGAGCCCGTCTTCGGGGCCCATTCCCACTCTGCATCCCCCCCCGCCGGAAAGAATAGACTCGCCCTATTCCTAGATGCACCCCTTTTCGAGCCTTCCCTAACATTCGGGGGTCTCTCTCGCTCCAATCCCGTCGTCAAGGGAGGAAGAGAGACCGACGCCACCTAACCTCGCTACCTAGCCCCTCTCGATATCAGAGTCACCACACTCCCAACTTTGGGGTCCTTACTTTCGCATCTCTCTCTCTCTCTCTCTCTCGCTCCGTAACCTCCCCGCGAGGAGAGCGAACGAGACGGACGATCTCCGCGGCGGGCACATCTCCGAAGTCACGGCGAGAAGTATTTTCCCGGGGGAAGAGGGGCGCAGAGAACACGAGGAGGATGAAAATCGTAGCCCGGTGGCGCCGGGCGCCCACGAGGCCGTCGGCCCTGGAATAGCCAGGAGCCGCTCGATTCGAATCGCCGCGTCGACTTAGCACTCTCCCGTCGCGTTTCCGTCCGAAACGAACGAGGACGGCGGCCGCATAGAGGGCCGCGCGCGCCAGACCCGATTCCGGGCTGGCGCGTGCGACTCGGCAACGCCGCCGCGCCAGCCGAGGGCGCTTGCGCGAACGGCAACGCCGCGCGCGCCGCACTCTGACAACCGTGCCACCAGCGCGAGGTCCCTCCCCTCCCCTGGCCGGGCGCTGCCAATTACTCTGGATTTTGTAAACCGATGAATTTTCGGATCGAACGATCCAAGATGCGCCTCGGAGGCGTCTCGAATCGATCCCATCCCTTCGCAGGGATCAACGACCGTTACACCTCGACGCTTAATTTTAAATCAAACTCGGTAAGTTGGCAGAGGAATGGAAATGAAACGTCTACGAGTGGAGTTCGCGAGAACGGTTAGCATTAAGGCAGGATTTCATAAGAGCCAGGTTTCATGAATGCCCCCCTCGTACAGTGGGATATACCTGCAGAGAAGGGGCACACTAGTGTCCACTAGTGTACAGTTCATGGTAGATGTATGTACCATCCGCGTCGATCGAGTAGAAGGTAAGGTGTTACTTCTAGAAAACATTAAGGCAGGATTTCATAAGAGCCACGTTTCATGAATGCCCCCCTCGTACAGTGGGAAATACTTGCAGAGAAGGGGCACACTAGTGTCCACTAGTGTACAGTTAATGGTAGATGTATGTACCATCCGCGTAGAATGAGTAGGAGGTAAGGTGTTACTTCTAGAAAAAAAAAAAATACGTCGAAAAGATTCATCGCGTTTCCATGGACTTTCCCTCCCTTCGGGTGGCATTTCATTAGAATTCCTCCAGTCCCCTGAACACGTCGATAGGTACAACCTGTTCAGGGAAAACTCCGTCGTCAGGATTGGCAACGACGTCGGCGGGGGGCACCTGTACTCGGGAGTGGGGGCATCCTCCCGTAGACCCGGCAACGCCGGGCGGATAGACCGCTCTCCAGACCTGGCAACGTCGCGGGTGACGCGGCAACGTCGCCGCCGGCACAGGTGGACAGAGGTCAAGCTCGCCCCTCGGGACCGAGCCAGTCGGACTCCCCCCCTCCTGCTACATTGTCAATGACCGAAATGCCGTCTCAGAAAAATATCGAAAAATGAAATCGTTTCATGAGGCGGAGCGACATTTCATGAAACTACATCTGACGAGCGCCATTGCCTTTCCGCGATTGCGAAAACCCGGCCAGTAAACATCGCGCGAGCTGGCAACGCCGCCCGCACAACTCGAGGAGTCGCAGAGATCGGACGCGGTCGCGGGGCGGCGTTGCCAGATCGGTCAAGGATCTCAGCCTAACCCGGGAGACCGCGGCCAGAGGGCGAGGCGACGTTGCCACGTCGCCCGGGGAGGAGGAATGCCTGAGATCGATCGGAAAGTTCCCAGCGGATGCGCAGGTCGCAGTAGGGCCCCGAGATCCGGCAACGTCGCCACAAGCCCATGACGTCACCGCGTCGTCGATAGGACGTTTTTCGGATTTTTCTCTTTTCCGCTAGATTTTCCCGCGGTCGAGAGCTCCGTTTCGCATTTAATACTGCCCACGATGTCAATGGACTACAAATAGACTGGCAAGTGCCAAACGGGGCCCGGAATAGCGGCAACGTTGCCACGTCTCCGACTTCACGACCCGCGGGTATACAGGTCGGCGCAGGAAATATCCGGACACTATGAAAGCGTGTTTCTGTTTTCTTTTTTCTTTCTTTCCTTCTTTTTTTTCTTTTTTTTTTTAATTCTTCCAGAGCATAGATGGACAATATTCCGACGTGAAGGGTGAGATCAAGTAACTGTCAATCGAGTTAGCTTTCTCTCGAGATGAACATACCGAGTGCGACGCCCATCTACCCCGCCACGATCAATGCCCGATATTTCAATGCGGTCGGAAAAGGCCTTGAGAGAGCGTTCTCTTCGCCGTCGTTCCGTTTTAACGGAACATAATCTACCCCATTCCACGCCTATGGTAGAATCTCCCCGCCAATGGGTGGACACGCTACCTCGTCTTCTGTATACGAAACATTTGCGACATTCGCGAATCGGGCTTGAAAAGGGCCTTATCTCTCGATATTTCTCCATATCACTGGATCGCGCGCCATATTGGAATCTAATCGCAAGATATTCTACCATTTCAGCGAGTAGATGGAAACTTTCCACCATGAAGTCCCTCACAAATACGGTAACGTTTACATTTTTATCTCCCCCAGACTTGGTACTAGAAATTACTCTTCCCAGCGATGAAACGATCTACGATTTCAGGGTGCGCGAGTCACGATCTGCGTCTACAAAATGGCGGACGGTCCGGAAATAGCGAGGTAGGTATTTCTGCACCGATGCAGCGCGTACGGTGGATATCATATCGTGGAAAGATTCTCTCGATAATCGGCCGTTTTGCCGGACACAAGTGACTACGGTTCCATCCGCCCAGTCGTAGGCAACGGCAGATTCTTATCCCTCGATATTCCTCCATATCACTAGATCACGCGCCATATTGGAATCTAATCGCAAGATAATCTCCCATTTCAGACTCGCGACGATCTGCATCTACAAAATGGCGGACAGTCCAGAAATAGTGAGTAGATGGAAACTTTCTGTCATGAAATTCCTCACAAATGAGGTAACGTTTACATTTTTATCTCCCCCAAACTTAGTACTAGAAATTACTCTTCCCAGCGATGAAACGATCTACGATTTCAAGGTGAGTGAGTCACGGCAATCTGCGTCTACAAAATGGCGGACGGTCCAGAAATAGCGAGTAGCTGGAAACTTTCCGCCATGAAATTCCTCACAAATAAGGTAACGTCTACATTTTTATTTCCCCCAGACTTGGTACTAGAAATTACTCTTCCCAGCTATGAAACGATCTACGATTTCAGGCTGCACGAGTCACGATCTGCGTCTACAAAATGGCGGACCGTCCGGAAATAGCGAGGTAGGTATTCCTGTTCCGATGCAGCGCGTACATTAGATATCACATCGTGGAAAGATTCCCTTGATAATCGGCCGTTTTGCTGGACAAAGGTGTCCACGGTTTCATCCGCACAGTCGTAGGCAACGGCAGATTCGGCCCAGGGACTCACGACGGCGTTCTATTAACGTATTTACGGGGGAACGAGGAAGAATTGTCCCCTCCCCCCCGACACAACGGAGAGGCCTCTCTCGCACGGCAGGGGACTTTCACGAGCCGTCGACGCGCGATCATTTTCTTGTTGGAAATCCACCTTCTGGCCTGGATCTCTGTCCCTCAGGTGATTCGGAGACCTTTCCGACAACCCAAAATCCCTTCCCCGCCGCCATTTTCTCTCAACGGCCGCCTTAACCGTTAAGGTAAAGTGAAACCCCCCCCCCCAAATCAGTCGATTCGAATAAAACACTTGTTTTCAAGGGTATTAGACCAAACTGTCCGAAACTTTGACACATGACTCGTGATCATTTAAGAATTGTCCTGACACATTAAAAATTTGAATTTTTCAAACGAATTTTTTAACAGCCCAGAAACAAAATGGCGTCGAACTCTCATAATTCGATTAATATACAACTATTGAAGGCTTTGGTATGAGAAATGACAGGGTCAGGACAATTGTACGACAATTTAGAACACTCTGGTAATTGATAAACTCGCATTTAAACGGGATAAAGGCAAAAACAGTGTCTTATACGCTTCTATGTTAAAACTATGGGAATACGAAGTCTCGGAGTGAAAATTGAATTGACCTGGAAATCACAGATGGCGCAGGGGGTCCCTCTGCAGTAAATTAGGGCCCCAGAAAGCATCAATCCAGAGGATTTCTGGAGTTTTACTTCGATTTCTTTATAATTATTGTAGGAAAACGGCAGGTGGAGTATGCCATTTGGTACAGTACCCAATATAATTCGACACAGCTGTCAATATAAAAATGAACATCGGCAACGTAGGTATGCAGAAAAGACTATTTTACCGACGTCGATCAAGTTCCTCGACGTGTTTCACTTCACCTTAAGGTGATGTGAAAGTGGCGTGGTAGAGGTTTTATTTATAAAACTTTTCTCCCAACTCAGTTTACGGAATAGTTTAAAACTTTACAACCTGAATAGGGAGACTATAAGGTTCTGAAACTCATGAAATTTCAATTCTTTTCAAATATATTTATAGGTATTTTAAAAGTAGTTTATAAAAAATGAAATTTTCCGAGTTTCAGGACCTACCTTAGGGTCTCCATATTCACGTTTTGAAGTATGAAACGATTTGAGTCACCCAGTTAGTAGAAAAGTTTTATGAACGATTGAGCTTTCGGATGCCACTTTCACACCCCCTTAACGATCTAGGGGCACTCCTCGTGGATCGAACGCCTCTCCCGCGGCCAGGTGAACGCTCTTAATCGACGTTAGTATACGAGGACGGGTGTCGGTCTTTAAAACTAAAATCCGTAATCCCGAAAGAGCAATAGCGCCAGCAAGCGACGAGTAATCGATAGCACTAATCGCATCGGGTCGACAAGAGCGAACCGTCGATTCGCTCGAATACGCTCGCAGGGGAAATTCCGCATTAATATGGAATTAATGTAAACAGGTTTTATCCAAATATATAGCGAGTGAACGCGATAAGGGTGAGGATTCCTGGGGAATAAATAAATTCGAGTTCCATTCCCGGCGTGTCGTGCTCGCGTTCTGCCTTACCGACGGCCCAATGGAAAGCGGAGCCAAGGCCCGCCGGCCTAACGGAAAGCGGACCCGGGGCCCGGCGACCGGCGACCAATCGGAGCGCAGCACGCAGAGCGCCCTCTATCGATCGCGCGACGGTGGCGCCGCAGGCGGGCGCCACCGTACCCGCGCGCTCGCTGATTGCAATGGGATCCTAGCACTCACTCCACGGACTGCGATGCACCTCGCGGCGTTTAGAAACCAAGAAATATGGCGTCCGTGAGTACGAAGGAGCCGACCGTCTGAACGCGTCGACTAATTCGCCCGGAATCGCCCTCGAGAGCGCCTCGAGCAGCACTGAACCCGAGGCCGAGTGGCCGGGCCGAAGA